TTTAATGAAACCAATTTGGGAAAAAATGGTGAAAATTTAGATTATAGGGGTATTTTTGAAAAGAAAATCAGAAACCGGGGGTCAAAACATAATTTAAAAAAATTGTGCCACGTCAGCAGCCTAAGCCAACCAGGACACGCCGCGTGGCAGAGACACTGACGCGGGAGGCCACGCAGAATGGAGCCACGTGGGCGATCCGCGTGTGCACGATCGGACGGCTGAGATCCGTTCCCGCGCGCAAGGAAAGCCCAGATCAAACACGCATGCGGACGGCTCAGATTGCACGCGTGCAGACGGTCCAGATTGAATCACGCACGGACGACCCAGATCGTATCGCGATGGACGTTCCAAATTCATTTCTAATTTAATCACGATCGGACGGCTAAAATTAAAAGGGGAATGTTATAAATAATCTCATCCACACCCAACCTCAAACCCTAGCCGCCAAAGCCCTTGCTGGAGAAGACAGCCCAGCCACCAGAGGAACCGACCGCCGCCACCCGCTGCCACATCGAAGCACTTTTCGGCCGCCAAACGAGGTAAAAATTTTCTTTTTGGCTCAGATTTTGATGCTAAACCCGCCTGTGGCCAAATCGGAGCCAAACCATAGGTCAATTGGCCGAAAAATATCGCTGAAGCCCAGCAGCGCCGCCGTGGGTTTCCTCAGTTTTTGCCTTCGATGAGGCTCTTTCCGATTTCTGTTCGATGTATTTTTTACACCACTGTGACCACCGTCTTTTCCTCTACAGGTTGACCGGAGCAAAACACCAAATCACGACTCGCGCCGGAAGAGCCGCCGCACCCGAGAGCTCCGCCGCCGATAAGTCTCAGTTTTCGAGTTTTTTCGGCCCACCGAGGGCCTTACGTGTGTTTTCTCGCAGGAACTGGTGCTAGTTTGGCTGAATTCAGCCGGAAACAATCGAAAACAGCCAACCCGAGGTGGATCACCACCGCGGGCGACGGCGCCGTAGCTGGAGCACGGCGGAGTTGCCGTGCCGAAATTTTTAAAATTGGCTGAGTAAGCCCCGGGTCTGATTTGGAGTTTTTTGGGGATATGTGCAGGTACCGGAAATGTGTTTCCATTCCCGGTAAAAAATTCAGGAAATCTAAGAACCGCCCTTAGGCGCAGTGAAAAACCGGTCTTAGATTTTGAATCAAGTAAGGATCACTCACCCTATTTCTTATTAAGGCATTAAAGCTTAATAAACGATAAAACAGTATTTTATGAATTGATAGATATGTATAATTAATTAAGGTCATTAATAGAGCTCGGATCTGATATATTTTCGATCAGTTGTTGTTTTAGTTATTATACAGTTTTAAATGCATTATGGTATCTGATTTATTTATTCTATGATTTTGAATGCATGAATCACTGTTTACTTCATTATGGCTTGATTTTGTGAATCCGATGATATGCCTGCATTGTTGGATGCTCGTTACTTGTTTAAATATTCATGATTATGTGAGAAATAGAAAACTAAAAAAATAATAAAAAAGGTATGTGAATTGATAAATGGATAAGTCGACAGCTTCACTAGATATCTTGGGAGATGGTGGACGGATCGGGTCTGTAGGGAACCCTACCGGGAACGTTGTCTCTCATACCGGACGAGGTATGGAGACTTTAAATGTTTTGGCGCTCATACTGGATGGGGTGTGGGGACGATCCGCTTCACCTTCATACCGGACGGGGTATTGAGGTTTATCGTTTTGGCGCCCATTCCATACGGGGTATGGGGACGGTCCTGAAATTAAGTTATTAAAGTGAATGGTTCACGTGTAGCAGGGACCCCTATGGGTCCCCATGGATACTGGTAGGCTGATAAAAGATAAAATTTGTTGCCTGATGATTAAAATATTAAAAATATGACATGTGTTATGTTACAGAGTGCGTATGATTTCATGATATTATAATGTTATTGTTTTCATAAGTTGTTTTCATGAATCTCACCGAGGTAAGTGGACAATAAAAGGTTTTATCATTGATAAATAAATTTGTTATAAATTATGTTCTATTAGTCGTTTTTGTTTTCTACCAACATTTAATTATGTGACAGTGAGATAGTATGACGTCTTTACTGGGTTAGTGTAGTTCATTCTTTACTTAATCATTTCAAATCAGGAGAACTTGGTTCCTAAACCCGTTCCCCAGGAAGATGGCGAGTAGATGCCTAAATATTTTATAGTTTTCTTTATAGTATTTATTTATAGTATTTACTTTAGTTAGTTTATTCTTTTATACGTTTAATATGTTTTGGTTATTGTGTAAAAGATATTAATTATAATATTTTATTTCGTTTTCGCACTTAGAATTTTTATATATATACGTTTCCTTTTAATTTCCGGGGTTGTTACATATAACTCATGAATTAATCGAAATTGCTTCGAAGCTTTCGTACAAAATTTCAAATATTATGTTTAATTTTAGAAATACCATATAAACTAATGTTTTTGGTTATATTGTTAATCATATAAATTAATTAATGACATTAATACTTTGTAGTTAAATAAATACATTTAATTAATTTCCATTTGATATAGTTAATTAATTAATTATTTTAATTAGTTAATCAAGTGGATTAACTAATTTACGCATTTCCCATTTTGTACATAGCTAAGGAGACAATTACGGTTCATTACTCGTGGACCGAGGCCCAACCTAGAGTGGACTCGAGGCCTGGCCTGGTAACTACGTCGTCGTTTTTGTTTTTCGTTCAATAGTGGGCCGAGGCTCAATTCGTGATGGTGGTCTGGGCCGGGTATATACGCTGTCGTTTTTGGTTTTCCATTTCCCCTTTCCAAGGACGTCGTCTTCCTGTTCATATTTCCTTTTTCGCACTCCGAAGTCAGACTCAGGAGTCCCTTCTCTCTGCTGTTTCTTACTATTTCTGCCTGTCCGTCTTCTGTGTTTTTTTTCATCCCTATGAACATTCTGGCTTGATGTGGTATTTTTTGTATGCGACATTTCTTTCTCCAGTTCATTTTCGCGCCAAAATCATTTTCTAATCCCCTAAGAAAACCCTAAAACCCCAACCCGCTTCTTACTCGGTTTGCATATGCAAATGGATGCTGTAGAAGATCATGAGAATGCCCTCCATAGCCCGCAGAAAACTGACCCTAGACCTGCTCCGCCTCCCGAAGACCAGCAGGCTCTCTCCAAGAATGCTAAAAAAAAGCTGTTAAAACAGCAGCGATTCGAGGCGAGAAAAGCAGAGAAGAAGGCAATGGAAAAAGAGCGGAAGAGAAAAGAAGCGGAGAGGAAGCGGAAGGAATGGGAGGAAGCTCTCGCGAGCGTGCCGGAAGAGGAGAGATCGCAGCTCATAGAGTCGAGAAAATGCCTCAGGCGTGAGAGGATCGAGAAAAGGTCTGAGGAAAGGGAAATGAAGATTCAGAGGTTGAGCAAAGCCAAAGAATCCGGCCAAAATATCATCATCGATCTCGACTTCTCCCATCTCATGACCGCCTCCGAGATTCACAGCCTCGTTCAACAGGTAAGAATCATAAAGAATTCTACTTTTTTTTTTTGTTGAGATATAAGAGAAGGAATCATAAAGAATTCTACAATTCTGTGGAATGTATTTGTTTCAAATGCACCGCAAAATTGTTATCATGGAATTCATTAGAATTTGTTGACAAATTTGAGAGTTTGGAGAAGTAGGCTTGAAATGTGTTATTTTCTGTTTGTCTTTCCAAATACTCTAATTCAAATGAATTCAACGAGTATAATTTATTTCAAATAATTCAATTTGGAAGTTATTTTCTTCATCGATTAATGTGCAACTAACATAAATTTTCAGTGGACATTTATTCAAGACAAAATCTGAAATTTCTCACTTCCATGGAGCTCTATCAATTTAGCCATGATGTGAATTAACTAAAACGTATTTGGATTTTTTGCATCTTTACTGGTGGATAGGTCTATATGCAAACAATTTGAAACTGGTGTGGTGTTGTGATGAACATGGCAGCAGTAAATTTGTGTCTATTACTGAGGAATTTTTGCTTCAGTCCTTATCTTTTTGTTTTAGTTGAATGTTTCTCTGTACATCTCTCAAATTGCTGTTGATGGAATGTGCAGATTATGTATTGTTATGCAGTAAATGGCAGATGTAGTTGCCCTGGTCATCTCTGGTTGACAGGATGCAATGGAGAAATGGAGAAGCAGTTGCAGAGGCTCCCAGGGTTTGATAAATGGATTATTGAGAAGGAAAATCGATCATACATGGAGGCATTGAATGAGCAGAAGGAAAATCTGGTATATCTTACCGCTGATTCGGAGTCAGTGCTGGATGAGCTCGATCCAGAGAAATATTACATTATTGGTGGGTTAGTGGATCGAAACCGGTGGAAAGGGATAACCATGAAGAAAGCACAAGAACAGGGCATCCTAACAGCAAAACTCCCAATAGGAAGTTACTTGAAGATGTCAAGTTCTCAGGTATAAAATGGTCGCTAGCCCGTTACTTGTTTCTCTTGTAAGTTTGAGCATGCATATCTTGCCTGCTGGGGCTGGATATATAATCGTACTTTGCCAAGAAAATGACAGTAATCTGATATGTAGCACTTATTTCATCTCACGGGAAAGATTAGTATAGCTAAGCTCCTATTTTGTGTTTATGTTTGACGATTATAAGTGAGTGTTTTGTCCATCTGAATGCAGGTACTCACAGTGAACCAAGTGATGGAAATTCTCCTCAAGTTCTTAGAAACAAAAGATTGGAGGACTTCCTTCTTCGAGGTAATTCCTCAAAGGAAACGGTATGATGCTGAGTCAGAAGAAAATCAAGAGGAAGGAAATGGGGAAGCCGAGTCAGAAGAAAATCAAAGGGAAGAAAATAAAGAGGAAGAAAATGGAGAAGGGTGCCAGGAGGAAGAAGAATCCAGCAGAAAAAAGCAGTGTATTGAGGCACCAAGAAGTCCCGGCTAATTGAAGTTGATAATTTCGATTTGTAGGCCGAGGAGAGACTTCATTTTCCCTGGCAAAGATAGATCTGAAACTGAAATGTTTTACAGGATTCATATCCTTTCAGGTTGAACAATCCATTTTGGTTCTGTTTTTTCTTTTCGGGTTCATGTTTACATTTGTAAAGCTCGATATTTGATCATATGAAAACCCCTTGATTTGTTGTTTCATACTTTTTCTTTTGCTCATATGAACAAATCTCTGTTTGGATGGCATTTTTGCTCCCAGAAAACTCTGATAAGAAGAACAGCAGGAGTCTTTAAAGTTTTCTTAAAAGTAGATTTCTCTTATTTTTTATGAATGCAAAATTAAAAAATTAAATAAATATTTTTAGATGTAATTTTAAATTTTAAAAACGAGTAATAAGTTTATTTATTAATTTAATATTTAATAATTTATTTTATAGAGTTTTAAGGCCAAAATATCAGGTAAATAAAAAGGAGGTTACAAAAGTACAAAAAAGCAGGCCCGCGGTGGCTTCCATAGCATAGTGGTATTGCGTTCGCTTCGTAAGCGAAAGGTCGCGAGTTCGATCCTCGCTGGGAGCTTCTTCCCAAATTTGTTTTTCCTTCTTTTTTCCTCTTTCGTTTCTAAAGAACAGCAGAAAATAGAGAAATAAAAAAAAAAAAAAAAACAAACAAAGAAGTTGAAATCTGAAACAGTCCAACAAAAACAGATATCCACCACTAATATTACATGCAAATGTTAGATCATCAGACACAAATTACATACGGCAAACACCAACCTCCACCTCTTTCTTTTTTTCCTTCCCTAACCTCTCTACTTTGGTTAACTAATCTACGGTTAGTGTGTAGCCTATATATCATCACTTCCGCTGCTGCTGCTGCTGCTGCTGCTTGTGATCGTTTAACTCATGAACACTACCACCAACACTGCCAGTCCCTCCGCCACTAGCAACCGTAGCAGAATTTGCAGAACCCACATTGGATTCCTTCCTAAAATACCCACCTGATCTACCGTACAAATACCCATTTTGATTACCATAATAATTTCCTAACTCAAACCTACCTGCTAAAAACCCTCCGCACTTCACCATCGACGACCCACCGGACTACTAGCCGGACTTCCACGTTCCCCTCCCTCCACC